CAACGACCCCACCTCGTGTCGAGTCGATGGCAAAAGCGTAACAACCTTAAATGTTGTGAAGATTCATACGCACCCCCCAACAACACACCTATCTTATTAAAATTTAAAAAGTTCTGCACCTTTCTTTTTAATCTTTACTGTTGAGAACGAGTTTTTTTTTTTTTGCTTTTTTAGAGGAATTATTTCTCCTTTCAATTATTTACTTTAGTCCTAATTCTTTTTATTCACTTTTCTTAATTTCTTTAATTAAATTTGATAATTTATTGCAATCCTCTCTACGACCACTTCGCTTAAATGCGTTCGCGGAAGATTAGAAAATCAACATAACGAAAACATACAAGACTAATAGGTAGAATAAAATTGTCGAAGCGGGCTAGATTGATAGAACTTTTTTTTAAAAAAAAAAAAAAAAAATCAAACCAGCTGGCTGGGAAAATTTAATTAGAAAAAAAACAGGACGAACGACGAAACAAAAAATTCTTATTAGACGACTAAAAAAAACTTGTAAATAATATTAAAAATATCATGGCAAATATCGGAGGAGAAACTCGTCCCAAAGAATTGACGGTGACGACGCCAAGTACGGTGCAAGTTGGTGAGTTCAATTAACTTCAATGCTTACCTTTACGGATTACGATGTCATACCAATATCTTATTAATCCAATGACCTCGAATTCAATCAACGTCTTAATAAAGCGCTCCGAATAAAACCCACAATAATACTGGATTCAACAATAACGCATTCAATAGCATCGGCATCACACGAGCCATCTTTAAAAGGTCATCATCATCCAATAGTGACTCCTTCAAACGAAGTACCCAATCAAGTGATATTCAAAACTCTTGAGAAATCCAAGGGAGATGCCGAGGAAGAAGGGAAATCAGAAGACAAGCAAGTATACTCTTTTGATCACGTTTTCGGCGAGGAATGTACCCAGCAAGAGTTTTACGAAAGCGCAATAGAGGGATTGATTGAGAAGTTTTTGGATGGTGAGTACTTGTGCTATGAAATTGATACGCTCTCACGATCGAGAAATAATAAGCCAATAATACCCTTCATCCAAAATACCAGGTTACAATGTGACTATCTTAACCTACGGAAAAACTTCTTCGGGAAAATCCTATACCCTTGGCACCACTCCGTCATCCATTTCAACTTCTTCCAATGACTCTGACACCTCCTCAACGTCTTGTATAATAGACCACCAATCCGGCATAATACCGCGTTCCATGAATTCTCTATTCGCTCTAATAGAAAACTCGGAGAAATATAAATCGAATAAAATCTCCCTAAAGGTTTCTTACGTGGAGGTTGTAAATGAGGATCTAATTGACCTATTAGATCCGCCCATTTACCTGTTTAATGGAGAAGACGACAAAATGGGTGGCATGGGAATAGGAAATGGAAGAGATTCTTCAACCGGGCATAGAATTGGCGAAATGAGCACCAACGAAATTGGTATGTACTTTGGCCACAATGAAATCCCATACCTTAAACCATTGGTGTTGATACGCGAAGACGCAAAGGGAAATATTCACTGGAGTGGATTGCAGGAGATCGGTGTAAATAATGCTAAGGAGGTTATGGAGTAAGTAAGCTCTTATGCAATCATAGTTTTATTACTATACACAGCTTCTAATCAATTCCAATTATTACCGATCAGACATCTCACACGAGGCATAGAAAGCCGTCACAAAAATTGCTCTGATGTCTCCACGAGCATCGCTTCAAGATCGCACACCATTTTTTCTGTAACAATGACTCGGCAAAAATTCATTCCCAGTGTTTCATCATTAACCTCACATACTGCTTCATCATTATCTCGAAGAAGTTCAACGACTCCTCACTCATCAGGATCACGTCCTTCGAGCAGGATGAGTGTATCAACAAGTAACTCAAGACCATCCAGTCGAGCTGGAAATGAAAGTCGACCTACTTCGCGTGCGAGTTCGGGTCTAGGGATCAGGAATGATGAGAGCGGAGAGCGCACCACCATCACAAGCAAGTTATGGTTTGTAGAACTATCGGGTAATGAAAAGGTAAATTTCTAACAATTTGTTCTTTTTTTTTCTAATTTATTCGATGAGAGTCCAGTGTGTTCACAAGTATTATTTGTTATTGTTGATTCTTGACGTTGCAGTCATCATCATCAAATGGCGATCTCACGACTTCCGAAGTTGTACGCCCAAATCCTGGTCTACTATCATTGGAAAACATAATCTCAATTTTGGGCACATCAAAGTTAAATTCCTCCACGAAATCTACCTCTCACCACGACATACCTGTACATATCACCCCAAATCGCGATAACCGTGTAGTCCCTTACCGTGACACAAAGCTCACTCGCCTCCTTCAAGACTCTTTTGGAGGCAGCGCACATACGCTAATGATTGCTTGCGTGTCACCTGAAGAATGTGATCGCGCTGTGACCCTCGATACTCTTAGGTATGCCTCTCTCACAAGGAACATCAAGAATATTCCATCGAAAAATGTAAAGGTTACGAGTGTTGGAAATGCTCGAAGGAATTCCTTAACACGAGAAACCGCGGCCAGTAGCGCACGAAGAGCTGCAGTTGGTAACGACCGAAGGAGCACCACACCAACTAATGGTCATATACGAAAGAAATCGATGGATGTTAAGCACTCGGAAAATGATGAACCGGGATGGCACGACGTGAAGAATTTGCAATCGACGGTGATCAAGTTAAGAGCCGAGAATAATGCTTTGAAGATAGCGCTTACCGCAGTCGAAAAACATGGTCAAGCTAATGGTCGTTCAACGCCTGTTTCCGGACGAACACCGGGAAGGAGCACCCCGACATTAATTCCGGGCCGAAGTACTCCCACCAAACCTCGATCACCACTTGCAACGTATTCCTCGTCAAAGAATTCGTTATCACAACAGAATCAGCAATATTACGCGGAACAACTGGAAGAGATCGAAAGCCAGTATTTACAATTAAGACAGTCGTACGCAGAACTTTCGCTCAAGTATGGACAGGCGTCGGCAGAGCTCGCCTTGTATCAAGATAATCGTGAAATAACTTCTGCCTATCCTACCTCACCCTTCGGCGTTTCCAGTCGTGATGGTGAAAGGAATTTCACCTCAATCGCCGAGCCTATCATCAAGGAATATGAGAAATCCATCGCCATGCTAGAGGATAAACTCATAATCACACAAGCCGAACTTGATCACTCGGAGCAAATGCTTAAAGAACACGCG